ATTATTTACAAATTGCATTTAAAAAAAAAAACACTTAGTTTATCTCTTTGAAACATCCAGGTTCGTAATGTTCTTACAACAAAACCTGGAGTTTAATAAAAAAAAAAAAATTCACTTACTCAATTTTTTTGGACAATCTTGTCACTATAACTCTTCCTTTAGCCATCATTCCCTAGCTGCAACCCCTTTCACATTTTCTTACCCTTACAACCCTTTATTCCCATAGATAGGACACCTGTCTGCATGTTGGCAGTGCAGTACATGGTTTTTTGCCTTTAAATTTAAAGGATGGCCTGGATAATTTGGAGTCTTATTTTGATTTGGTTTTTTTCCCCTCCTTTAAGAAGTCCTTGTTAATCACATAGTTGTGTTGGGAAATCCAAGTAGCTGGGTGATAAAGGCTTTTTTAGAGTGTGTCCTCCTTACAGATAAAAAGAATTTGTGGAGCTGCTTATTGTTACAGTTTCAGAGATATCTTAGGGTAGAAGTGAAGTGTGTTTCACCTAAGATCCAAGTAATGAATGTTGCTTTTGAATATTTTAGCTTAGTGTTCTGTTTATGTTAGTTGGTTTTTAGTGTTTTCTGTATCATAGTTTGAAAAATGCCAGTTGTATACACTGGATCTTTTGGTCAGCTTGTTCTACTAGTTTTCTATTCATGGGGCAAAGATTTGGGAGGGGGGCTTTTGAGATCAATTTTTAAATTTCTTTCTTGGAAAATTGTTCTGAATTTGATATTTAGGAGTGGCTACTCCAATCTTAGTGAATTTGCTCATCTCTTCCAGTAATCAGCCCTGCATGCTTATGAAAATAAATTTTAAGGTGACTAAATGCCTTCTACCTCTTCCTTACTGAAGATTTTTTCCCCCTATATGATCTTTTTGGGGGGGAAGGGCAGATCGTGGTGCCAAAGATTGCAGATCTAAATTCCCCATTTTTTATTTAAAAATTCAAGAGCCAAATGTCACCATTGCTATCCCTGTTTCAGGCAGTGACACAATATAGTGGCATTAAAAATCCCAGTATTCTCCAGAATTCAAATGTTCCTAAGCATGTGATTCTTATTTGGAAAACTGAGAAGCTACAGTGCTTGGTGGAAGAAGGATGGCATTTGGCTACCCTGTTCTTTCTCTAATGCCTCGGTGTTGCCTGTCTGCGCCGGCCATTGTTGCAATGTAAGCAATACTGTTTGATGCACTGCCACCCTCTATTGTCTGTTTAGTGTTTAGAATCTCCAGTGGGGAAGAGGAAAAGAAGCATGACTGTTAGTACTTCTCAGGACCCATCTTTCTCAGGATTAAACCAGGTCTGAAACTGTCTCCTATTCCAACCTCAATCCCAAATTCATGTGCTTTTCTTTTTTATTGTTTTATTTTGGTTATTTTTATTTTTAGTTCTGGAGAATGTAGATCTTGCTCAAGCACCTCTTATGTTGGCATTATTCAGACATACTTGGCAAACATAACATTACTAAGATACTCCTTTGTAGCTTTTGCTTAAAACTTGTGAATTTTAGAGAAAACCTAAATGAAAATAGGATATTATCTTTCAGATCTCTTAACAATCATATGTGGAAGTACTATGTTGATCTAGTATTGTTTATGTAATAGTAAACTTGAGAATGGCTAGTACTTAAAATTTTATTTGGAGTTGTACTACAAGTTAAAAAAAATTCAGTTGCATTAGTATTGTAAAATGAATTGATTCTGCCTTCTCTCCTACTATAATGAATTTCAGGTAAGTATAGGTCAGATTTCAGATCTAATATATCTAGAATTTATTTTTCACAGCCTGTAAATTCTCAGCTTCCACCAAGTGGATATTTAAGGAGCAGTATATGCTCCGAAACCTAAAAGATATTAATTTAATAGTAATTAAGCACTTATCAAAATAAATGGTAGCTTGTCATTAGTAATGTGGAAGATACATGAATGCATAACCTGATGATTCAGATTTTCCTAGGCCAAAATTCATTTCAGGAATTTGCTTCTAATTATTTAAAGAAAATATAAAGTTCTCTTCAGGCTGTCTTATACTTCTATAGACATTAGATTGCCTTTTGTCTCGGGCCTTCACATTGAGTCCCATTCCTAGCCCTTGTTTTATTGTATTTTAAAATTTTGAGGCAGTTTCCTAGATTGGGCCTAAACTTGCTATCTTCCTGCATCAGCCTCCAGAATATACGCACCATACCTGGTACCTGTATGAATTTTAAGGTGAAGGGGAAAAAAAAATGAGTACATATATTTTGATGCTTTTGAACAAATGACTTTGTTTTTCAGTTTAGCATATGCCAAAGTATTAGTGAAGTATTAGTGTAAGTAATAAAAAAAAAATACTTTGGTGTAGTACTTTTTATATATGTATATCATCTAAGTAATAATTTAATCCTTTTACACACAGCCCAGCCTTATTTCAGGACCACCTCCTGCTTTTTAAAAGTCTCAGGATTTTAGTTACTTTTATGGGGATTGAGAACAGATGGTACGTAAATAGGTATATTATAAAGTAATAGAAAATTTTTAAAACTATGGCACTTCATTTTTTCTTACCCATTCATTTATTCATTTTTTAAATTTATATGTCAAGTCACATTAAATTGGTACTCTGTACATAGAGATTACAACCTGTACATGGGTTGTGAAGTAAAGTGACCTTGTAAAATTTTTGAAAGGGCAGAAATACATCACTCCTGGTTAGGAGAAAAATTGTTCCAAGTATTAAAAACTAAAATTAGAGGTAGTGTTTCCAAAGAAAATGACCCCCGTTTATCAAACATTAATTCATTCCTTCAATAAATAGGTAGGCTGCATTTTTTTTGAAACAGGCATAAATCTTGAAGCATATTAGTAGAAGTCCACAGAAAAGCAAGTTGGCCCACCAAAAAAATTTGCCCATCTCTCCATATTCAAGCCCATATATAAATATGCTGTCTTACGCTTGTTGATAGTGCCTTTGATCATTTTGGTTCTGCCTTTACATATTCATAGCTGTTTGTATCTTTGATATTACATGGTTTCATGTAAACACTCCTATTATGTATTTATATTGGTTTTTAAATTGAAAACATACAGGGTCCTACTAAAGAAGCTTGCTAGGTAACTGAAAGTAATGCACTACAAGAGATTTTTCTAGCTTTAAGTGGTTTTTCCTTTAAATAGTTTCCTTTCAGTTGTTTACTGAAAATTGGATACCTTTCTTCAGTAATGAAATTTCCTGATTTTTTTTTAATAAAAGAAAATTTGAAATTTATTTATTTGCTTTTTAGTTTTTTAAAGAATTGAGACATTTATAAAAAGTTAGTGTTTCCTAATTTTTTAGAGTTTGAGGAGGATATATTTTAATACAGCCTTTAGCCTTGTGGAAGGAAAGAACTTTTGGGAATACTGAATTTCTATAAAGCAAAGACTGTTGCCTATGTAGTACAGGCTGGCCTCAAACTCATGGCGATCTTCCTGCCTCTGCTTTAAATAAAAATGCTGGAATGACAGGTGTGCACTGCTACACAGGGCTCTTGTTTTCTGTGAATCTTGACCAACTTAATTATAATTCTTGTTTTGATTATCAGAAATGTATTTCAGTTGGATATTAAAGCACAAGATTTTTTTCTTAGTATTTTATAGCACTGACAATTCCATATTCGTAAAGTAACTTCATTGCTTAAGGAATTTTAGCTTTCATTACACAATTATACTTTATTAATAATCCTTTTTTATTTTTAATGGTAGAGCAAGTGAAAACAAGGATCTCATTGTTCACATGGTGACAGATTCAAATGTTAGTGTCTTTACTATCCAAAGTATAAATGAGAGTAGTTTAAAATGCCTGGCTGAAATAAATGTTAACTCATCTTCCTAAGGGAGCTGCTTGGTCAGATTTTTAACCTAAATCTAGGTTTGTCTGTTTTTGATATAAACTCTGCCCAGCACACTACAGATTATAGACTGTAGCAGAAGGGACCCGTTAGCCTAATGAAAAGAATTATAAAGTATAGGTATAACCTGAAAAGATCAATAGTTTAGAGTTGTATACTGTAAGGGCACATAGACCTGACCAGCCTGATAATTGTTGTAGATAAATCTTTATTACAGCATAATGTAATGAGTAATGTGATAAAGACCCAGGTTTTAAGTAAATTTTATTTAGCTTTTAATGGTAGGTAAATATGAGTTTTTAAATAAAAAATAGTTTGTTTTTTTTTTTCTTTTTAAAAGTTATTCTGGAGAATAAAGTTTATGTAGAAAAAGTATTCTGTATTATAAATGAGGACCCTCTTTGCTGGTACAATATAGATAAGATAAATCTAAACTTTCTAAAATGCAAATCTTGTTTTTTTATTAGTTCATGTAAACTGTTATTAGTTAAACACATGTTGATATGCTTTTCTAGATTGTTTTAAATCGACTTGTTCTATTTTCCAAGAGTTTAAGCTGACACATAATGTCATTGCACACTGGAATGTAACATGTGTATCTTAAAAACAGAACAAAAGAAATAGGTCTTACTGTCTGCCAGACTTTCAGGTTGTCTTATTTTAGATAATGAGCCTTCTGGTGGCATACTGAAGAGAGTATTGAAACATGATGCTTGTTAACCAGTAGCAACAGTATGTCAAACAGCATACCTGACAACTCTGCCATCGAGTGTGTGTACATTTCTTTACTTACTTCCTAAAGACAAGCTCCTGAACTGGAGTTTGTGAAGTTGTGCACATAACAAGGATAAACTACTAGACCTAAGTGGTTTTTGGTTGGGTTTTTTGTTTTGTTTTGGTTTCAGTTTTGTTTTTTAATTTGGTTTGTTGAAGAAAACTAGTAATTACTAGGGGTGTGTGTTACCTATTCAACTTACACTTTATTTTGATATATTTGAATGCATAGAACATACGGCATTTAATGAATAAGAACCAGCTTAATTGAGTAAGATTGAAAACCTAATGTCTCTTTATTTCTCTTTTAAAGTTATTCCTTATTGATTTTGGTTTGGCCAAAAAGTACAGAGACAACAGGACAAGGCAACACATACCATACAGAGAAGATAAAAACCTCACTGGCACTGCACGATATGCTAGCATCAATGCACATCTTGGTATTGAGCAGAGGTGAGTCTGAAAATTTAATGTGTTTATCAGATTTATAGCAAAAAAAAAAAATGAGTTTTTGAAATATTTTAACTGGTTTTTTAGAATGTCTAAGGATGTCTCTTGGCTGAGGATTTAAGGGATGCTTATTGTTTTACAGAGTTGCTAATTATATAAAGTCTTTTGTTTTGGGGGGGGTGGTGGTGGTTGATGATGATGGTTGTCTCCTGATAAAATACTGCATGATGGAATGTTAAAAACATAATACTATTTTTACATTTCTTTTTGCAGCTGAACATAGTGCTGATTATTTTATATTTTAGTGGTGCAGGTTGAGTTTGGGGGAACAGTTGGTTATTTTTACAGGGAAAATGTTAGGAGAGTATTAATAAATCAGCAGGGAATTGGTATACTATATCTTCACTTGAATTCTGGCTTTTCAGTTTCCCTTCATTAACTTTTTTTCCCATAAAAGAGAAATAACAAATTGTATGCCTTTGTGTTGGGAATTCATGAGACTTTCTAATTTAGAAATGACCATGGATACCTGAATATCTTAGGTTAAACTAAGATTTCAGCTTTTCTGTATGCTAAAATATTAACCTGTATTTAAATATGTGAATCGATGGAGGTAGCACAGAGGTGGAACACTTGCCTAGCAACACAAGGCTGAGTCTGTGTGATTACCAGCGCCACAGATGAGTGTATCGGAATATATGTTTATGTGTGTATACATTCATATAGACGCTAGCTTTAAAATGTAATTTCAGCATCCCTAACTATGTCTTGCTGCATAGTTTTCTTTTTTCATTAAACTTGTTTAGAGTTGTTTAGCTAAATCTTTTTTATTCTTTGAAAATTATGTTTAGAACTGTGCTCTTAAGATGTGTTAAAATTTTGTGAGAATAATTTGTTTAGAGGTAACTGCCAAGAACTTTATGTTATGAACTAGGTACTTATTTGCATAAGACACTAAATAACTCTGTCTTTATAGGAAACATTTTTTCTGTGTTTAATATTTGGCTTTTTTTCATGTAATATCCATTTACAGTTCCAGTTTATAAAAATTACCTTTTCTTTTCTAGTCGTCGAGATGACATGGAATCATTAGGTTATGTTTTGATGTATTTTAATAGAACCAGCCTGCCATGGCAAGGACTCAAGGTAATCAGATCCAAATTACTGGGATTTTGTTTTTAAGAAAAAACTTAAGCTGGATCTGGTGACACACACCAGTAGCACTCAGGAGGCCAGTGGGGGGATCACTTGGGCACAGGAATTTGAGGCCAGCACATTACATCTTTAAAAAATAATACTGGGGAGATGTCTTTTATGTTCCTTCCAAATCTATAGTTTTTTCTGAGATGGAATTGACTTTATTTTTGTCTTTTATTTGGAGAGAAAAATCTAATTGTTTTAGTAATAACCTTCTAACTTAAAGAAGTAATTTCTTTTGAGATAATAAGATGGTATTCACTGGTAATCACTAGCTGTACTACGTGGAAGTTGCTACTAGCTTAGAAAGGGCTCTCATTTTGATGTGTGACCATTATGTTGAAAAGGTAGAGTAAAATGTGTTCAAATAAGAGCTACTTATTTGTGCAAATATTAAAACATTTTGTTCTATGATAATAATGTCATAGAATTTAATGGCTATCTTTATCCTTTATTGATCCATTAAAGGATAAAGGTACCTATGTTTATTGAGTCTCTGAAATAGTCAAAGTGCTTAGTTCTTGTCCAATATAAATTTGATCCTACCTACTATTACTTAAGTCTCAGGTCGTAAACCTTATCTAGTTTATATTTGTACATTTGGTGACTTAAACTATTAAGGTTTTTCTTAGTAGCAGTGAGTATATATTGTTCTTGGTTCTTATTTTCTATAGGCTGCAACAAAAAAACAAAAATATGAAAAGATTAGTGAAAAGAAGATGTCCACTCCTGTTGAAGTTTTATGTAAGGTAAATGTATATGATCAGTATTATTTAAAAGTACAAGAACAAGCTGGGCGTGGTGGCTCATGCCTGTAATCCCAGCACTCGGGAGGCTGAGGCAGGAGGATCGCTGTGAGTTCAAGACCAGCCTGGGCTACGTAGTGAGTTCCAGGTCAGTCTCAACTACATAGTGAGACCCTGTCTCAAAAAACCAAATCAATCAATCAAACAAGAATAAAAAGAAACATTTTACTTTTGCCAGACTTAAATACCAGATTTAAATACTTAAATATTAGGTAGCAATTTGCTATTTTAAGTTCATGTTTTAGTTATTCTAAATACCTTTGGCAATGGTTTAAACATGTAAGTGTTTTACATCTCTGATCTGTGAAAACAGTGGAGGAAAATTAACAAGGCACATAAACTTTCCAAATAGAGCCTTTTTGATATATGAGAAAAGTTAAGAAATAGTCTTCTTTCAACATAAACTGGTATCAGAAAGGAGAGGTAAGAAGGAATAGAGAAATTGGCAGACAAATCAGAGCAATCCAGAAATAGCGGCTTTCTAACAATAGAGAAATGCAGGCAATAATAGGAATCAGGTTTGTTTCTCTGAAGTCTCAGACTTTATAAAAAGACAAGTTCAAATGGAGCAGTATTGTGTCCTGATGAGTAACTGTGATCACCTCCGTAGAAACAAGGCCATATGATCTTTTGAGACAGTAATTGCATACCTGAAATAAAATTAAAATGTGTAATATATCCATTGTTTTAGTTTTGGGTCTTCACTCAGCAAAGAAATAGCATGAGTACTTTGTAATCATTAAATGTGATTAGTATAAAATGTTGCAGGTGTAAACATTCTGTCCTGCTTTGACTCCAGAATATGAGAAATTTCTCAAATTATGAGGTTGTGAGAAGAGATTGCCTCCTTAACTCCTCCCTCCCTCCACATTTGCATATACAAAGGAGGAGATAGTAGGGGTTTGGGTGTGTTTTCATAGCTACATCACTGATGGCATAGTCCTCTTGGTGACAGATAAAGAAGAGCCTTAAAAATCTTCCAGACGGCTGCCTTGCAAGCACGAGGTCCTGAGTTTGATCTCTGATACCCAAAAAAAAAAAAACCTTGTGGTGGTGGTGGCTCACGCCTGTATTTCCAGAACGTGAGAGGCCAGGCAGGAAGATTGCTGTGAGTTTGAGGCCAGCCTAAACTACAGAGTGTGGTCCTGTCTCAAAAAAGAAACATCTTTGAGATTTTTAATAGACATCAATAAAATAGTAAATAAACAAGTGGATGTCTGAATCGTTTGGGAACTTAGTTCTGTATGGGAAAAAGATGCATATTTCCTCTGTAAATATAAAAACATTATATAAGAGTGGGTGAAATGGTGAAACTTGGTTGAAATTCATTAAAAACCCTGGCCATAATTTTACCATGTCTCTCTGTAAAGTAGTGAAACACCCTATTCAAACACTTTTTTTTTTTTTTTTTTGCTTTGTATTTAGCAATTTATTTTCCTATTTAAAAATTAACATTTTGTATTTTGCTCTGTTTTAACTCTTAAACTTTTAGGGGTTTCCTGCAGAATTTGCCATGTACTTAAACTATTGCCGTGGGCTGCGCTTTGAGGAAGCCCCAGATTACATGTACCTGAGGCAGCTATTTCGCATCCTTTTCAGGTCAGTTTTTTAAGATATTTCTAAGACTATACACATCAGTGTGGGAAATAGACTTGTCTATTTAACTTATCTATTCTGATAATTAGTAAACTATAGAAAAAGGTTCAACCAATATGAGTGAAAGAGACAGCTGAATCATTGTAGTCTAATTTTTCCAAAGTAATTGCAACTCATATTACCTATAAGTGGCTGTCAGTGCTCCCTTGGAACTCTCTGGCTTTATTATAGAACCTGATTCAGTGTAAAATTACAAGGCAATTAAAATACCAGATAGTCCTAGAACCTTTGGAATAAGGAGGCAGTCCCAAATTGGAGTTCCTTTAGCATACATGTAACTCAGGCTCTTAGTAGGAAGAAAGTAGAAATTGAGCTGATTCGTTAAATCCAAGTCTTCCCAGGGCACTAGTACACACATTTCCTTCATAAACTTGGTTCCTTCCCTACTCTTTTGACTTCTAGGTAATTATCTTCCATCACAAATATCCTTCTAAATGACTACTTGCTTCAGAATTACAGTTCTTCATTCTGCCTTTTCATTTCTACTCACCTACCTCTTTTGAAGAAATAAAGGAACCTTCTGTTTGAATTTTATTTTTATCTACTGTAACAGATCACGAACGGTGACACCAGAGTGACTTTCCCTCAATCACGTCATATAAAAGCAGAAATTATTTCACTGAAGAGTTAAAAAATTTGTAGGGAAAGAAATCTTAGATGCTACCACACACTTGAATTATTGATGTTCTAAAGAAATGCCTTCACTGGGCCGGGGATTTAGCTCAGCGGTTCAGTGGCCTGCCTTGCAAGCGCAAGGACCTGAGTTCAATCCCTGGTACAAAAAAAAAAAAAAAAAAGAAAAAAGAAATGCCCTCACTGTCTTGAAGAATCAGTAGGTTACTTGATAATATTAAGGATTAGCATGTAATTTTTTCAGAGTCTGACACATGCTTCCTCAGTCTAGGGGGGAAAAACATGTAATTTTATATTTTCCAGGACCTTGAATCACCAATATGACTACACATTTGATTGGACAATGTTAAAGCAGAAAGCAGCACAGCAGGCAGCCTCTTCCAGTGGGCAGGGTCAGCAGGCCCAAACCCCCACAGGCAAGCAAACTGACAAAACCAAGAGTAACATGAAAGGTTAGTAGCCAAGAACCAAGTGACGTTACAGGGAAAAAATTGAATACAAAATTGGAAAATTCATTCATTTATAACAGTGTTAGATCAAGGAGGTGGTTTTAAAAATACGTAAAAATTTGACTCTGTTTTTTAAAAAAAACGTCCTTGGAAAATTTGACTACTAACTTTAAACCCAAATGTCCTTGTTCATATATATATATATGTATATGTATTTGTATATACATATATGTGTGTATATTATTATATCATTTCTCTTGGGATTTTGGGTCATTTTTAACAACTGCATCTTTTTTACTCATTCATTAACCCTTTTCCAAAATAAACATTCGGTGTTGGGAATATGGTATTATATCAATCAATCCAAAATCCTAGACCTAACACTTGTTGATTTTCAATAATGAATCTGATTCGCCATGGTATTTTGACTTTCTTTCAGACTAACAGTGTTAAGAATTTTTTTGCATGTTAATACTTTAGAATTTAAAGGAGGAAATTGTGAACATGTTCTAATTTCATGAGGTGAGTTTGGCGTTGCCCCACAGTGTCTTCTCACGTAATTGCAAAGCTCATACGTCTTTCCTGATCACAAAAATAAACTTCTCTTACTTGTTGGTCAAGTGTAAACGTTCTTAATTTTAAAATGCTTCCTTTGTTTCTGTCTTTACTTTTTAAAATACTGCAAATAACAGGCTGTAGGTGTTCATTGTAGAGTTGAAGTGCGCAGTTAGCCCTGGAGGATTAAAGACAACTGGGGCAAATGCCACTGTACCACTGCTCATCTATTTCCTTTCTGTGTTTCCTGGTACTCTATGCTTCTATGGAATAGAATTGTCAGGGTACAGCTCAATTTCTTAACTATTGTCGCCATTCAGTTCAGCTCCTGTTTTCATGTTTTTTAATTTTCTTTTCCCCTTTCTGGGGCAAGTAAGGATTGGTTTTATTTTGTTTGTTTGTAATTATTTAATTTCTGAATGACTTCTCTGGTCTGAACTTAGTCTTCATAGATGCTGCTTTTAAGAAGTATAATTGAAAAGAAAAAGAAAAAGTAATTGATGTTATCCTCATCACAGCAGCTCATCTATTAGAAATAAAGTTTGAGGTGCTTCACTTCCGTGTTTCTGTATTTGGGAAGAATTTAAAACTGAAGATTTAATGTAGCAGGGATCCTTTGATGAATAAATTTAAGCTCTGTGTTGGGATTTGGTTGCCTATTAATGAGTTTCAATTGATTAACTGGTTATAGGGCCCATGAAATCCATAATGAAGTGTGTGTGTGTGTGTGTGTGTGTGTGTGTGTGTGTACTCTGCCACTGAGAAATTGTTCTGCTATTTAGTTAAGACCAAATATAATCTGTAAGCCAAGGACTTCTTATAATTGACATGTATAGGATGTCTGCTTTTTCTCACAAAATGAAGCTAATTTTGCCTGAAGCTAGCTGGGATAGCAGGATCATCATGAGTTGAAATTTCTAGAACTAAAATTAGATTGAAATCTCATCTGCCTAGAACATTTTACTTCAGGCATTAAAGCAGTCTTCAGAAAGAATTACTTTATTTTTAGCTAGTTCCATTGTTCACTGTGCATCTCTTAATAATAAGCAGAATTTTTGTCCAGCTTGTGCAGGTCTTTTTTGTCTTTTGAGACAGGATCTTGCTGTATATTTCCGGTTGACCTTGAACTCAACTCTGTAGCCCAGGCTGGCCTCAACTTGCACCAATCCTTTGGCCTCGGGATCCCATATACTTGGATTATAGGTGTGCAACACTATGCCTGGCCCTATCCAGGTTTTAAAAATATGAGAAATTAGGAGCTGGGGATTTAGCACAGTGGTTCTCCCTCCTGCCTTGCAAGCACAAGGACCTGAATTTGATCCCCCATACCACCCTACCCCCAAAAAAGATGAGAAATTGGATCCACTAAGTTAATGTGTTTCATTGTAAAAATAAAAATTGTAATTAAGTTTAATACTTACTTTGTATTGTAGCTATTTTTCATGACAACATTTAACTGCATCACCTGACACAGTGGCCATACAAATTATAAAATGAACTCATAAAATTCTGAAATGTCTCAATAATCACGTATTGACTACTTTCAGAGATGACTGTCTAAGACTGGGTATGTGGCCTTGTAGTACCAGCTACCTGGGCATCTGAGGCAGGATGATCACTTGAGCCCAGGAATTCAAGGCCAGACTGGGCAATATAGAGAGTCCCGGTTTCAGGGAGGGGTGGGGGAGAAGTCCTAGGTGATAGATATATATTTTGACCCCAAGCAAAATATTGCTTGTTATTAAAATGTGCACTTCACAGAACATAAGTCGCAGAATTATATTTTACTCTTGAACTTCTTTAAAACATCTGTATTCTTAGGTATAGAGTTCAGTGCCTAGTCAAGTCGTATAAAAATCTCTTTCTATGTAGAGCCATGAAAATACAGCAGGCCTGAGGGGACATCCATAAGTATGAGAAAGCTAGTCTCCAAACTTTTACCTCCAGCACATTATCTAAGTTTTTTTTATTTGTCGGTAATTAATAGAGGTTTCTAAAAGCATAGTCTCTTAGGGTCCTCTAGGCTTTTTTATTTAAGAAAAAACTCAAGTTTATCTCAGTGATTCTTTGATTCAGGAAATCTTTTTAGTGAGGAGAATACAATATTAGATTTCACTAGTTAAAAATTTTTAAAGTTGCCTTCTGAATAACAGCCTTTTTTAAAAAAGTTTGCCTTTTAGGGAATTCAGATGCATTAGTGAGTTTTTATAAGTAGATCTGTATTGTAGGAATATTTATTCTTGGAGAAACTCTCCAAGTAACCGTCATATTTTTGAAATGTCTATATCTAATGTTTCTTCCATGGGAAATTACAGTAAGTTGCATACTCTTCCCTTCTCTTCTCTCTCTCTCTTTTTTTTTTTTTTTTTTTTTTTGGAAACAGAGTGTCACCTTGTAGTTCAGGCTGGCCTGGAACTCACAGCAATCCTTCTGCCTCAACCTCATGAGTGCTGTCTGGGATTACAGGCGAGCACCACCGTGCCTGGATTAGCAGTTCATTTTAAAATGTCCAAAGACTTTGAAGTTTAGCTTACTTGGGTAATTTGGGCTTGTTGTATAATAGATTGCTGCCCTAATTACTTTTCTTTATTCTTTTACAAATACTACATTCAAGAGACCAAGTAAACAAGGCTTTCTCCTAATGCTCATTATTATCTGTACTAGTTTTTAGTGCTAATATGCCACAGATTATAATTTCATGTTTCTAGTTGCATTTAAAAGAAAAATAAATTCACACCCAACACACTAACAAAGACATTTTAACTGAAATTCTTTCAGCAGTATTTGATGATCAGAAAAACTTTTTAATCCATTGAAACAGTAGTAAATGAAAGGGAAATAGTTTTGGGACATTTAAATCTGATTAATGTCAAGCATGGTGGCACGCATATCTGTAATCCCGGCTTTTGGGGAGGCTGAGACTGTAGAAATGCAAACACTAAGATCTTAATCTAAGAAAGAAAATAACTATCATCATAATCCAGTTAAGTTCACCAAAAATTACAGAAGTGATGAAATCAAAGGTGAATTTTTATATAATCTTCTTCACTATCTCATCATAACTCATTTGCTTGCCATATCAGCCATGGGTATTAAACATAGCTTCATCATAATAATATAAGTGGATGTCAGAATTGTTGGCATTAAAAGAGGATTAGAAGAAAGGGGCTAAAGGTGCAGAGAAAGTGGGAAGGGTAGGGGAAAGCTAATAAGGGAAAAGAAAAAAATATGAGAAAATGAAGAAATGGAAATGAAGTGTTTGTAAAGGGGGAGGGAGGAGGGGTGAAGGGAGGGCAGGGACAAGGGGAAAAAATGAGAACAAGACCTGTCATGTAGAGGTACAAGATCCCAATGATGAATGTAGCTGTACTGTATACCTAGAATGTACCAATAAACTCAATGAGGGGGAAAAAAAGAAAAATGGACAAAAGTAAAGAATAAAAAATATAAGGAAAAAATGTACATAGTTTCCATATGAAAAATCAACTTCACTTATAATGAATAAAAGACAAATTTAAAAAAGAGGATTAGAAATATTTTCCCATCATATTAACCTGCTATGTCCATGATCTTTCTTAAATTACCTTCCAAAGTGTACTACTGGGTTTTACCTGTTATAATCATGTCTGGCTTAACTTTTTCTGACTTCACCAATTACTGCCAGGAACATGGCTGATCACTTAGCAACCAAATCCAAATCACGGGGGAAGACCTTGAAATAATTGAAGATGATCTGCTCTGAATTCACTCATTCCAAAGAAGTACCGGTCAACTTCATCTTCTTACTGAAATCTTGAATTTTTGTCAGCTTTTTTCACTGTGAACAGTAAAGCTGGAGAGAAAAGAATTAAGTAACCCAACAGAAAAATAAAGATGAGTGTGCCAAGAATTGATTTGTGTTGACCTACAGCCCATGTCTCTAAGGCTTGCCTGGCCCATCAGATTTTCAGCATGTGGGATTATCTGGATGACTCTACAACTTTCAGACCTAGAAGAATAAAAGTGTTGCAGTGATTCAGCGGTGTATAATGCAGAACATCCACCAGTTGAAGAAGGATTCAATTGTAACAGGTATTTTAATACTCTGAATTCAGAAATCTATTGGAGAATTAATTTGTAGTAGGAAGAAAAAAGAATCCAGATCTTTAGTCTATGGATACAGATTGGGATAGTACAAACCTGCTATACTTAAATTGTCAATTGTCTTTTTTTGGTACTGATAAATTTCCCCAATTTAATAGTTTTTGTTTCTAAAGGGAAGAGTTACTGTAGTTTTTCGTTTTTAAACAGTATGGCCAATCTTACTCAAAATCTCTGAGCTTGATTCCGTGCAATCAAAAGGCCATTCAAACACATGGGCAAAGTTAGTTAATAGAAATGAGATTGGGCTAGGGATTTAGCTCAGTGGTGCCACTGCCTGCCTCACAAGTGCAAGGTCCCAAGTTTGTTCCCTGGTACCGAAAAAAGAAAGAAATGGGATTGTATATTGAAAACCTACTATGGGTTTATAAGACTAGTACAACCTGCCAGGTATGGTGATACACACCTATAGTCCTAGCACCTGAGAGGCTGAGGCACGAGGATCCGCAAGAGCTTGAGGACAGCCTGGGACTACAAGACTTACTACTGCATAAATACCCCCATTAAACTAATTTTTGGTTCTGTTTTTTTAAGGTCAGTTATATTTGAAGTGAATTAGCAAATAAAAAACATTGAAGCTTTAGATTTCACATTGGACAGTTTTTTTGTTTTGCTTTGTTTTTTGAGACAGGGTCTCACTATGTAGTTGAGACTGACCTGGAACTCACTGTGTAGGCCAGGCTGGTTTTGAGCTCACAGCGATCCTCCTACCTCAGCCTCCCGAGTGCTCCCAATGCCCAGCTGGGACAGTATTCTTGTAAAACTTTTCTTCCCATTTGAAAATTTAAAAAGAAGCTTAAATGCAGCTATTAACTCAGGAATCATCATATTAGTCCTCCAACTCTGTTTTTAACTTTCTTTTCGCTTCTATTTTAGGAACAAAGGGATTCATCCTTCATTTTAAGATGTTACTGTGAAGATACGTTTTTGAATTTTGGGAACCAGGAGATGTCATTCAGATTGCAAGATAAAAATGAAAGACTAAAGCACAGAAATGTTTGTTAGTAATTGAAGATTGAATGTTGGATACCTGTTGAATCTTCCTTTTGAGATTTTACCTACTTCAGTAACTCTTTGAACAATTCATTGGAGAAAACCATTGATCCTGGGTGGAGTGTCCCTCCACTGGCTCATCTGAAGAGTTAAATCTGGATTTGACTGCTGTACTTTCAGAATATTGTTAGACCAGCTTCAGCCAGTCTTCTTAGACACTTGTAATCACCTAGCAATTCTGAACAGATACATTTCTTATCTAGAGCTTTCCTGTTATTACAAACCAGTTTCCTAAGATTGTGCTGACAATATATAAGATTTCTTTTTTAGTTTGTTGGTCAGTTTTCTATTTGAAAATCATTTGGAAAAATTCAACATGACAAAATATTCACTACAATGTGATTACATAAGCAACTTATAAAAGAAAACCTACAAGTTTTAATAGTTGTGAAAATGTTTCTTTTATCATGTTTTGTTTCTTTTTATCATATTTAAAAATAATTCCAAGGGGGCCAGGGATGTAATTCAGTGGCACTGCACCTGCCTGACAAGTGCAAGGTCCAGAGTTCAATTTCCCTGTACCAGGAAAAAAACAGGAATTGCAAGAATAATTGTAAAGCTTAAAAACAAATCCTAATAGTATAAGCGCCATTTCTATTTGAGTTAGCCATAGTTTCTTAACTTGCATACCTTAATTTAGTTAGTTTACTTGAGGCTTGGTTTTGTTTGTTTTTAGTTTATTTGGGGACCAGGTATAGCGGTGACAAGTCTGTAATACCAGTAGAAGGCTCAGGGAAGAAGATTGAGAGTTTTTGGTAGCTTAAGCTATATAGCAAGGCCCTGTCATATGTGAACAAGAGAGTGCTTTGTTCAATCAGTTTAATAATAGGTATCAAGTATATAATGTTACCTGTGGTGAAATACATTCTCAAGGTTTCATTGTCTTTTTTCATTTCTTTTTTCACATTTGCTTCCTGTGAACTTAATATTCAGACAGGACTGTCTTTTAGGTACCTACTGTTTTGTTAGGTACTGTGGAAAGACAAAGCCCTCATATCTTTGTCCATAAGGCTTAGCATATAGTGTTTATCAAATAAATGAGGATGGTAGTTTCTACCTTTAAATGAAAAAGTTAACAAATAAGACTATTTATCAAGAAATGATGTGTAAATGTGTTTGGTACTGTTTTTAGAAACACCTAAATCATATTTGCAATAAAAATTAAATGATAGAGGGTTGGGGCTTTAGCTCAGTGGTTCTGTGTCTCCCTTGTAAGCTCAAGGTCCTTAGTTCAGTCCCTGGTACCAGATGAATGAATGAATGAATGACAGGGATATTGTATTTATCCCATGAAGCCCAAAGGAGATTGTCTAACAAATATTTGAGAAAAGGAACAGTTTGTTATATTGGGTAATGTGATTTGTTTAAAAAGTTGAGAAGGTTAGAGTTAACTTAAGCCATCTATAAGAGTTCGGAATAATCGTCTGGCAGTGGGGAGGCTGAGGTAGAAGGACCACCATGAGTTCAAGGATAGCCTGGGCTATGTAGTCCAAGCCAGGCTGAACTACATAGTGAGACCCTGTCTCAAAAAAAAAGTTTGGAAGAAGGGCTCAAAGGAACATTAATGTCTCAAAGAGTGTCAGTAGGTGAGAGGAGAAAATGCTTATAGGGTTTTTCAGGTTAAGAGGCATATTTCCTCTCTGCCATTAGCCAAAGGTAAAACCTGTAGCTGTGATGACCTGCATACCTCTTGTATTCAGACCTGCCTTTATGAAGAAGTGCTAGGGTCCACTAGTAGGGAAAGGAAAGTATGTAGAGTGAGAGGACTTGAGAAGTAAATAAAACCCAAAATGTATCATTGGTTTATGTTTTGCACACCAGGGACAAAACTTTTTTAATTCCAGCCGGTAGAAGTAAAGAAATCTTAAAGCTGTGTGTAAGGTTTCTTCTGTCTTAAATTATATTTTTCATAGCTGGACATGGTGACACATGCCTGCAGTCCCAGCACTTGGAGTTTGAGGCCAGCTGGAAACCCTGTTTCAGATTTACAAAGAGCTAGGGATATGTCTCAGAGGCTTTGGGTTCAAATCTCTAGTACTGAAGAAGAAGAGTTTGTGGGGCCAGGGATTTACCTCAATGGTTCCACTTGCCTCACCAAGCACAAGGACCCGAGTTAAATCCCTGTTCCAAAAAAAAAAGAAAAAGTTTGTGCTCATAATATGATTGAAACTGTACTCTGGTTATAGATTATAAAAGCAATCTGTGTTACTGCTTCAATGAATTTTTGAAAACGTGATATTCTAGGTATTAATAAACTTCCTGAGATTCGTATACTAAGATTTTAATCCACTGTACACCACTTCTTCCTATGGTCATCCAAATTAGAAAAATTTGTCTTACAGATGTTTTTCTGTTTTTGATTGTTAAGCCTAGTGATTCTCAAATACATAAAATGGCATGAGCTGCTATAGAGTGATTATTGTCTCAGTTCTACTCAGTTTTCCTATTTTAGATGCAATTATTTTTTTAACTTGGAATTTTAACCTTCTTTTGTTTTGATTTTTTTAATAGGCTTCTAAGCATGAATTGAAGAACAGAAGAAGCAGAGCAGATGATCGGAGCAGCATTTGTTTCTCCCCAAATCTAGAAATTTTAGTTCATATGTACACTAGCCAGTGGTTGTGGACAACCATTTACTTGGTGTAAAGAACTTAATTTCAGTATAAACTGGCTCTGGGCAGCATTGCCGATGCTTTGTCTGGAGTTGTAGCCGCTGTAATTGTGAATATTAACTGAGATAGTGAAACATGGTGTCCGGTTTTTTATTGCATTTTTTTCAAGTGGAAAAGTTAACTAAATGGTTGACACACACACAAATTAGTGGAGAAATTGTGCATATGCCAATTTTTGTTAAAACCTTTTATTTTGAAATATCCTGCTTTGAGATCTCATTTCAGAAGAATGGCATGAACAGTCTTCAGCCACAGTTGTGATGGTTGTATATGCTCACAATTGTGCATTCTTAGGGTTTTCCATCCCTGGGGTTTCTAAGTTGTTCACTTAAAACATTCTTTCAATGGTTGGCTTCTTGTTTGCAAGCCAGCTGATACGGTAGCAACCAAAGATTCCAGTGTTTGAGCATATGAAAGACTCTGCCTGCTTACCTGTGCTAGGAATAACAGCATCTAAAGTGAAGACTTAAGAAAAATTTAGTAACTACTAGATTATCCTTAGGACTCTGCATTAACTCTATAATGTTCTTGGTATTAAGAAAAAAGATATTTGTCACAAATTTAGTTAACATCTTACAACTGAACATGTATGTATGTTGCTTAGATATGTAATCACTGTAAACATCTATATGATCTGGGGTTTTGTTTTTATTTTGAAATGGGAGCTTTTTTTGTTTACAGGTTCATTAAAAACTAAAAACTTTCTGTAAGGAAATGAGATTTTTTTTTTTAAAACAACAAAATGCCTTGCTGACTCAATGAAATAAAAATCTCCCCAATTTTTTGATAGACTACTTCAAGCCATTTGTTACATGATATTCCTTTGCAAGTTGTTTAAGACTTAGTGTTAAAAATTCTCTTTTTAATTTAAAGGTTTTCTTTTCTTTTTGTCTAAAGGAAAAGGTTTTTTTTAAATGACTTGCAGGCACAGTACCTAGTACTGCCTCTGCCAGAACTTGACATAATTCTTGCTGCCACTGACTAACAGCTGGACTGATTTTGATTAAGAATGAAAGCGTTAAAGGGTTTGAATACAAAATGCTTTTCTTTAAAATACTTGTGAAATGGCTTTAAGCCTTTGACTCATCCTTGGAGAGTGTCTCTCGCTGTGTGAAGTTCAAGTGATTCTTGACTCTCTCTAGCCCCACCCGCTTCTGTAGGTTACCTGTGTGTGTGCGTGCGCTGCTTCTCAGTCTTATTTGCGCACTCTTTCTGACAATGAGGGAAGAAAAGTTATTGACAGTAATTCTTTAAATAGTGTAACTTATTCATTTATAGCATGTCAGGATAAATTAATTAAAAGACAATAGTCTGAAAATGCTACCGAGAGCTTATTGTGTAAATGTAGGTATTTTACTTATAACCTTGAAAATGTTAAGTCGACATGTTTGGTCAGATTGTATTAGGTTTAATTTGGGGTTTTTTGTTTTGTTTTTTTAATTTTAAAACAGCAATAATTAATTCTATGATTGCCACATTCTGCCATTAATGGATATATTGGCACCGTAATATAGAAGAAATCTTAGTCTGAACTTTTGCTTTTGAGGTAGGCAGCTTATTTTTTCTTTTCTAACCACTTGTCAGTTAAGGTGGGTTTTTTTGTTTGTTTGTTTTCTTAACTAATAAACCCTTTGATACTTTTAGCCAAAATCAGTCTCATAAAGCTATTTTTGAGTATAGTTTGTGTAAAATAAAACTGTTTAGCTTTGGTAATAATAACTTTTCCAAGCTGAACTCCCTCTAGCAAGATATTTTTCAGTGCTTTTATTTACTATGCACTTAGACTATGCACTTTTTCTGAAATATTTTTGTAACACTTTTTTGTATTTTTGCCATTTGAAAAGGTTGTGGTGTAGTTGGTCTGTACTTAAGTTGCAGATTTAAACCTGCTGTTAGCTTTGTAAATCAAAATATAGGTGTTTTTGTCCTGGTATATTGTTATTCCATCTGCAGCTGGAGCTGGAATCCCATTGATCTTCTAGCTACCATTCATTTTCTGCACAATTCACAAAAGAAGATTGTGAAATTCAGTGAATGCTGTTACTAATCCTGTCGGGAGATGAATCTCATTTCACCAAAATTAAATTGTTTTTCCACAAAAATGACACAAGTTGAAGACACATCACTCTGAAATTGGAAGACCTCACCACTTAAGGCTCCACGGTGGCTTTCTCAGCTGAACTCTAGGTTACTACTCTTTACTTTGTTCACCCATTGGGGGGTGCGGTTTTTTTAAATGTTGGGAGATGACCCTTCTAACTACTGTTGAATGTCTGTTTTGGGAAGGTATAAGAAGAAAATAAAAAATATATATGAAGGGAGAGACTGGTTATCTCCTCCCATATGGTTGTGCTTATACACTTATGGCCTACAAATAGATAATTGGAGGTTTGCTTTTACTGAGATTTCCCACCAACAAACATTTTTATTAAGAGATTTCCCTACATCTACTAGAACTTGGAATATTAGCAATATTGTTTCAAGTATAGCATACTGTACTTAATCAATAATTAATAAGCTTAATCCCATTATAGTAAAGTCAAGGATTTTAGGAACTCAAGCCAGCTAG